TAAATAGTTCTTATCTCAATATTACCAGCTTCCTTGTATCTTTTTCCTCTGATTCTTCCCTTCCACCACAGGAGGGGAGGGGGATTTGTGAGAGCGGCTTCATGGTATTTTGCTAGCCGGAGTTAAACCACAACATACACACATACACACACAAACACACACACAATGTAAACTTCATGCAAGTAAGTCTATATGAAGTCGTTTTAGTGAAGTGAATCCCCCAAAGCCCATATCAAACTTCTATTAGCAAAATTCTGAATCAATGTTTATGTACAAAGAATGGTACAGGTCTTTAATTCAAACATTCAATACCTTGAAAAACTCAAGGAAGGATTACCAGATAAACCACTGTGGCACTTAGAAGAAAATATACATCAAGGCAACTCTCAAAAAAAGGAAACCATAATTAATTTCTTAATGCCACCATTCTCACTTCAGCACAAACAGAAGGTCAGATGAGCAGATAAACCAGATCTCTAAATATAATCTGTAAAAACAGGTAAGTAACTCTACAGAACCCAGTAGGGTTTTGCAATAACCTGAAGGGTTTTGTGCGTTTTGTTTTGGGGTTTCTTGGTTTGGTTGGATTTTTTTTCTACATATTAAGAAAGTAAGATAGGCACACACTATAGTTTGCTAATCGATACAAACCTATTGATGACAGTCCTTCAGGTCTACTTGAAATTCTTATGATGTCTCTATCTCCCTTTAAGAGAAAAATCTCATTGTTGGTACAGGACACAGACACAATATCACCATATCCTTCCAAGCCACCAACCAAAGCCTAGAAAGAGTCAACACAGAAAGAAATAATTGGCATCAGATTAACACACTGGACATGATAGTGCTCTTAAAAATGTTCACTGGAATTTAATCAACATATATAGTTACAGAATAAACATTTTATCTTACCAAAAATAAAGAAAAAAGAAACAGGAAAGCACCCTTTAATCATGATGTGGCTCATTTTTATACTAATTTGAATCCCATAGATTTATTAATTTTCTCTGTTCAAACTAGCAGCAACAGTATAACAACCACTATAATATGGTGGCAGGCAAGAGCCACAGTACAAATGTATAATACCTTTTAGACAAAAGCCTATTAGCTCATATTCACTTTCATGTGCACTTTTAAGATGACAAAATAGCTAACAGCTCGCTCCATACCAAATAAAATGTAATACTTGTTTTTTTGCAGACACCAACAGTAGGCGAAGGGAAAGAATAAATAGTTCCAGGCACACCTTACAGGCCTAAAACTTCTTTTTGCATTAATTACTAGATTTTAGATTTATATATGCTTTGCTAAGTATCAGAACTGATCATGATGTTAACATGTGGACTGAAAGCTTTAAATAATGTCTTGAGCTAGTTTGTGAATATACCACTGCAATGACAACTTGAAGACGGAGAGAATAAAGTCTTCTTTGTTACATTTAAATAAGGATTTAAATCATAGAAGTGGAAAAAAACCAAGTAAGAAAAAAATATGCACCCACAAAATTTACCTACCTGGTTCACAGTGTCCAGTAAGTAGATGCTGTATTCATTCCAGGTCAGCACCCATCCTTCTCGGAAAAAGCACGAAACAAGCCCAAGGTGTTTCTCTGGGGCACTGCAACTTCCTCTGTCCGGTGGTTCCAAACGAGGATACAGTTCAAAAGTTTTTATTCCTCCAGCAAATACATCTTTCAATATAAATGTGGCCTGAACAGTTCCGTGAACATCAGACTTCCAGAGACGAAGCCCAGGTCTGGCAGCAAATAGTGTCAGGTCACTCTGTTTACACAGGCCAGGTATAAAACATGCTCCAAATTTGCCAGTGCTAGAATGCAAAAGAAGAGTTTCTTTTAAAAGCCATATACTCAACTTAGAAACAATTGCTAAAACTAATGGCACAAATTTACAATCGCAAATTATCAAAACCAAGTTTTGTTCTTTAATTAAAGTATTGAGTCAAGTGTCTGAGGTACAAATCTGGTTGAAGTAAGTCAAGAACAGTGCTTCCAAATAACAACAGTTTTCCCTCAGCTTCAGATGTCAGACATCTATTAGGCAAGCTAACTAAGCTACTGTTTGTCCTCACAAAGATCCTCCCATACAGTCATCCTTTTGCCAGAATTAATAAAAAACCAAGCAAAGTGCTACAAACTAAGGCTAACAAACTGACCACCTCTGCTTCCCAGAAGCAGGGAAGACTTCAGCCTTCAAAATCTTTGTTTCGCATCCATAAAAACACCATTACTACCACCCAAGGAAACTCCTCATACATAAGATGATCCTTGATATTCCTCCTGCTGCTCATATCCCTGAAAGATACATTATAAACCTTCTTTCGAGAGCCAATTTACCCTACTTCCAGATATTTTCAGTCATGCTGTTCTAAGACAGGATTCCCTCTTCCTTCATATCCGAGAGACATCACACAACAGAAGATGTCATACAAGAAGTTCCTAGCCTTCAAAGTCAACTTTAAGCGCCTGCTATACATTTTCCCTTTTAATCCACTTCAGTGTATAAAAAAAATTGGGATTCTGACTTACTTTTTGCATTAGATGGGCCTGATTACAATGCTTGCTCACATCAAGTCACAGTAAACCAAGAGGGACTGCAGAGGAAGTTTGGCAGCAGTTTCAGTTTAAACAATGAGAAAACATCTCAAATATTTTTGCATAATAGTGCCCTGAAAATACGATTGTAGCATATTTGCAACCCTGTACTTTCTAAGTAGGTAGAATTGTCATTTTGTGTTTGAGCACACATAGCTTCCATATCTAACTTTTTATGAGTGGACTGCTGTGTTGTATTAACTTCACTGCTTAGATCACTCTTTCTATAATCCACCCTGAAAAGCTCGAATTACTAGATGTGTCTGCATGAAGATTTTTATGAGGGTTACTTTTTTCTGGGCTGTGTTCCAACTTGCTTGACAGACTTCTCTTCTGTGTAAAAAAGCAGAGTCCGCTGTAAGGTAGAGACAAGCAGCACTTTCTGGTTGTAATCCAACTGGACAATCGAAGATGGCTCCTCCAATACAAGGCTGGAGTTGCAAATACCCTTTTAAAGACACATGCCATTAACAAGAGTCAATCCTTCTAAAAATATAAGGTAATAACTAACACTTCAAAGAAATGTATAAGCCCAAGAAAGAGAAACCAAATAAACAAACAAAAGCTTTTGAACTGCTGTTGCCTGAAGTTCACTTAATGAATGTGGATTTAAATCAATAAATCAATAAACACAATGAATGTGTTCATTTTATGCAGATGAGAAGGGAGTGGGACTCAATTTCATAGTGTGTGGTATGCACAATTTTTCTTGGAATATTAGCTAATGCATTCCACTTGAATTCAACAGAAACTCTAGGACACATTTTCTCCCTTCTCCACTGCCAGGTCATACAATGCTGAGAAAACCATTACATTTGGAGACATTAAACCTTCCTGTCAAATCAAGTGAGGGACAGTCAAACTTTTCTCCCAGACACAGATTCAAGTTAGTACTTGATGTTAGTCTGTTATTGTTCCAGGTTATTATTCAAGTTATTCTGTTGATGTTCTGGGTCTGTTTTAATCAACAAGACATTAGAAAAATATCATTTACTGGTAACACACAAGTCACCCGCTAGAACCCAAAAGCTACTTGCACTCTACACTCTGGACTGAGATGCTGAACAATTCTGAATAATGTACTTCATCAATATAGTGAATGAGCAATGTCACATCATTCCAAAGTACCCTTTCCAAAGAAAAGAGACAGTACTCGCTGAAAGCTGAAGGAAGATAAGATGGTTATTTCAGAGAGAAACATGATAAAGTGAGAAGGAACACCACTTTATTGTTGTTAATATTATTTTCTTAAAAAGGTAAGGCAGCTGTGAAGGATATCCCATGGTTGTCTTGCTGGGTGTGTGCACACTTAACCAAGTGTACGTGTACCAATGAAGCAGTCCAGCTAAAGACATGACACTAAGCAATAACTAACTGCTGAATATTTAAACACACAAGCATTCTTTCAGAAAACTGTACATGGGAGTTAGGGTCTCTCTACCCAATGCTTACCTGGTCTAGGTCTAGGGCAGAGTAGACAATCTTCCCTTTGTCATCTCCAGAGAATAATTTCATTCCATTGGGACTCCAAGCTAAAGCTGTAATGCTGCTTTTGTGGATACCAGCAACATCAAATCTCCGAAGCTGTGAAACAATACCAAAGCAATACAAGAATGAGGGGAAGAGAAAATGGAACACAAAGCCTATTCAGTAAAAAAGCACCGGTCATTCTAAACTTTATTTAGCACAAAAAAACTACACAAGCAATCAAAAATCCCACCACCAAACAGCTCGGCCAGTTACTACAAATGAGGAATTCCTCAAAATAATTTTTTATTAAATCTATCTTTTGTAATGAAAAACGTCGTTTAAGATTATTGCTTTTATCAGCTTAATATATGAAGCCTAAAATATATTCACAGATATTTCATCAAGCCAAATTCTCTGTTTTTCACCATTATAAAGAATCATAGTAACACTCCCCTAGGATTTGCCTTACTAAACCTCATGGAAGTTTAGCCAGATGCAAAGATTTACCTGTTTGTTTCTTCCAGGTAACGAAGACACAAGCTGAAAAACTGCAACCCGACCTGAGGCTGTACCAACAGCTACTAGATCATCGAAGCAACTCAACAGCTTTACAAAAGTAATAGATTCACACTTCCCCTGTTGAAACAAACCATACATAAAGCTCGCAAAGTTAATGACAGAGAGACCAACAGCAGCTCAATTCTGAGCGACTCAGCTTCATTAAAAGAGACAGGACTAAATGTTACTATTTACCTCAAAATTGTATTTTTTCATCTGGTTTAAATGTCTGCAGTAAAGATAAAGCATTCCAATGCTGCTCCCCACAGCAATGTAGTCTCCATTGGTATCAAGTGCTGTGAGATATACCACAACAGAGCGAAAGCCTTTTTGGACCTTTGTAGGAATGGCATTGAGAAGGTAATACAAGGGACAAAACTCCTTAAATGTAACTGGTGAAGCCACAGATGCCATAGCAAGCATTGGCATCAGCAATTTTAAGGCTGGAACAAACACATCTACTTGACCACATAAGGAAATCTGAAAGACAAAAACAAAAGACACGTCATTAACTTCTTTGGGAAGAGTAAATGGTTAACAGAAAACCACCATTTAGCAAGTAGAGATGAAGAAATTCTCAGGTTTCGTTTAGTATAAAGGAAAAGCAAGTGAAACTCTCTTAGTGAATCTGAGTTATTCTTAGAACTTTTTTCTTAAGAATAAGCTTCTTTCTCAGGTTCAGCCAATACCTAAGGAGGTATGGTAACCGTGATATACGAGATAGCCACTTCTTGCAGCTCTCGGCTCACGAAAGCTGAGTTCAAATGCAGTCTTCCTTCTCACGTGTTTGGTGAAAAAACCGTAAGGGCTCCAACTCTGAACAACCCACGCGGTACATTTCTTCATCTACCTGAGAACTCTACCCTCTATCCTCCCAGTGCTGAGAGCACGGGATATTCACTGCGTTAGACAGTGCCATGAGAGCAAAGTGTCAAACCAGTATTTGTGTTCAACTCCTAACTGCCCCTCACCCCAAGAAAAACATGGTTGAGAAACAATTCAGAGCTGTATCTGCTACACTGTCAGAAAATAAGAACAGTGTGGGAAGAAAAGGGCAATGCAAATATTAAAGAAAACCCAGTTTGCTGGACACAGGAAAATAGCCATGTAGCAACTAAATTTAAAAAGATAAGGAGCAAACAGAAAGAAGTACCATATGCCCGTATTTCCCTTTACGGTTTACCAAATAATTTTGTGCTGCTGAGCAACACTGTAAATATACTTGGGGAACAATTCTGGTATCTTTCTAAGAATTATGGAAATAAAGATTCCATTTGCCTTCTTCAAGAAAATAATGAAGGCAGAGCTCATCATAGCAATAACGTACTGGGATCATCAGAAAAAGCCGATTTGACCAGGACGTACGTAAGAATATTTTTAAAAATTTAATTCAAACCAGTAATTTTTCTCATTGTGGGGTGACAGCCTTGCCAAGAACATTTTGCCGCAGCAGCTGTTCTCCTCATGGATGACTTTGGAACACAGAAAAGGAAAGAAGCAAGCATTTATTGAATTTTCTTTTGCCACACACAAGTCCGATTAACAGAATGGTTCAGAATCTGCCAAAAATACCTACAGCTTTCCAAGATAAAAATTTTGGATTTCTGTAAAGACAAACATTGTCTACTGTTGTTTAAGCCTGTGACACTGAAGATTTTCTTAAGCATCAGCAGTTATAACTTCCTTAGAGAAATGAAAAACAGAAATATGCCTACTGAAGTTAGAAACGCTTCGAAATGCTCAAAATTATTCTGCAAAGTATTCCCACTACAATCTCTGTGATATGTCCTATTGCGCCTAGTTTTTATTTCTCTAAGGATGGAAAATGGTATTTGTTTGGCAGCTTCACATAATCTCTTACAGTGCCTATCAACCAAATCAGAAAAAGATACAGCAGGTCTAGCTTCATATCTCCATTACTGTGGAAAGCTCTGGTGTCTGAATTTTCAAACTATTTCAGTTATTGTGCAAGAGGATTCAGCATGCTGGCTTTGGGCCCTGCAACACTTGCTGTCAACATACAATTCCACTAAATCCAAAGGGATTACTTGCATGGCATTACCCATTCAAGCCCATGTTAGACAAGATCAGAGGAATAAAGATTGGTTACTGGACCCATATTCCATCTGCGCTACAAAAACTGCCAGTAAATAAGCTAGCAGCAGTTATTAGACATTCTAAATAGTGGTAAGTTTTACTGCTGCTAGAGCTTAGAAATTAATTCCACTCTCCTCCAGTGTTTACTACCTGTCATGGCACCTACTTCATAAAATATCACAGGGATTAGCTGATTAACGTGCCCAACTATTTTTGAATAAAGAGTTCCTTTCAGAGTTGTTTACTAAGTTAACAGACAATCTCAGTGCATCACCACTCTTGCACTATTTTCACACACCATCTATTGCCTATCCCGTATTTTAGGTTTCCCGCCCTTTCCCTTCAGCATTTATTATCTTCTTGCTACTATCAACTAAATAAAAAGGGAACCCACTGCTGAAGTCTTGTTTGCTGTTCTAAACATGGTGCTTTACCAGTTTAGTAATTTTACTAGCTGCTGGTTTTCTCTCTTTCTTTTAATAAAATAAAATCCAGTCTTTGTGCTGAGTCTCACACATACAAATCTTCCTCTGTCTAATCTCAACTTCTACCACTCCGGCCTCATGAATTCCACGTATTTTTGTTTAAGTCCCTTTTGTCACCCCTACGATTCACATCTGTCATCATCCAAAGCTGCTCTTGTAGCTGGAACCATCTCACGCTCCCCAGCTGCCGAAGGACCATGCACACCCTCAAAATTCATTCTCTGTCTTAGTTTCCATCACTTATCCTTCCAGCTCAAATAAACTGTTAAAAACATAGTAATTCATTACAAACTATGGAATTATGGAAAATTATATCATCCAAAAAAAGACTATTGCTCTTTCCTCTACAACAACCCCATCTGCAACCTGACACACATTTTCTAAGTTTACACTTAATTTAAAAAGAAGGAGGGGTGTGGGGAAGAGAGTTTGATAAGGTTTTTCCCCCCACAGAAAACACTAGGAAGAATTATTTTTTGTCATATACCATGTTAAAGGAAAAAAAAAACCAACCCACTATCAGGTTAGGGTTCTCAGTCTTCATAAATTTTATAAACAATTTCATTTCAGCCTTCTCTGACAGCAAAGTTGTAAGAAAATTAGATTTTGTTCTCTATAACCTATTCACCCTGTACAATCAAAAAACGTATCAATAAACTACAATTTCTTGCCATTACACACAAATCAGTTTCATCCTGAAGGGTTTACAGGCTAACAAAACACTTGCACTGCTTGTGGGAAAACATAACTGAAAGATCAGACCATTGCTTTACTAAAAATACTGCTAATTAAGTAATTTTATGTATACAAAGCAAATGTATAAAGGACTAGAGAATTGCAATATGGCCTATATATTCAAAAACTCTGCACAAACACCACAGATCCCTGCTTTTGAGCCTGAAGTCTTCAAGACCCACGTAATTACAGTTGTGTATCACATGTAGTTTCTTTATTAACAGCTTTAGGATTATGCGTCATTTGGTTTTCCCGCTTCGTTAATGGAAGGCAAACAGCGGATATAATCTGTTTTCTCAGAGAGGTTCTGGATTTGGATGTACGTTTACCCTGTGTCAGCCACAGTTACCCATCAGTCGTACAGGGCAAATCAGCTTGCGCTAAGCAGCTATCCTGCAGCAGAGATAAAGTAGAGAAAAATACCTTACGGTGCACATCAAAAACAATCACCGAAGAGTCCTTCATTCTCTACTCACAAAGTTCACAACAAGTTTTAAATATTGCATTCAAGGCCATGTTTTGAAGAGCAAACTTGATTTCCTCCCATCTCAGAAACAGGAGTAAGAGGCAACTAAAGCGAGAGATAATCCCATGGTTAAACAGATAGGGAGTGGTTAAAGGTTCAGTGCCAGGGTATGCCACAGACCGACTGCCCGAGGCTAAACTGTCACTGCATTTCTCTGAGCACAAGCGTCCTGGCTGTACAAGAGGAACAACAGCTCTGTGATTTGAGGTTTTCTTTATTATTTGGCACAAAAACTTAAATTTAAGCTCTTCAGAGTATGGACAAACTCACATATATGACCACAGCTAAACACAAAAGTCTGATCTCAGCTACATCCTGCCAACTAAGCTGAAAAGCGGTTTTATTTTCTAACACTTCTCACACTTTTAGCCTAAGGAGCCGGCTACCCAACGGCCACATCTCCAGAGCTTTTCGCAGCCAAGAGCTGCCGAGCAGAGGGGAGAGCACAAGCTGGCGCCCCGAAACGAGCAGCTCTGCTTTCACGCATCCCGCTTGCGGGCAGAGGGCCAGCCAGCACGCAGGTCGCGATCACCTGAATAACGCCCCCGTCGCTCTACACGACTCATGAAACGTCACATCTTTGGCCCAAAAGAGTTTATTTTGAAAGGAAAAAAAAAAACCCAACAACCAACAAACCTAAGTGACAGAGAAAGTATGGGAAAAGGAGCAGCTGGGGTCACGGCAGATGCGGGTACGCCAAGGGGGGCGGTGGAAACCATGCTTTACTCTAACCCTCCTTCCTTAAAGGCATGTCTATATTCTGGCAGATGGCTCAAGGCATTCCATCCTAACACGCTGTTTTCTAGCGCCTGAGGAGCCTCAGCTCCAGACGGGAGGAAGACCCCAGCCGCGGGCTGACGCCGCCTGGCTCTTCAGCCTGCTTCACCTCAGCTCCTGCCGGATTCACCACCCGCACCCAGAGCCC